GCCCCGCGGGGCCTGGGGGTCGGGGTGGGCGCTCGGCCTGCAGCCAGGACGCTGATCTGTGGAATGAGGAGCACAAGTATGGGTGGGGAAAAAAAAAATCTGTTCCTAACGATGTTTATTGGTACATTAAATCAAGTATTTTTTTTCTTCAAGCGCACTCAATAAATGTTAAATAATGCACCCGGGCCTGTTTGCATCTTCTCTTTATTACAGAAAGAAGGCAATCATGAAATTAATTTTCAAATAAACAGGTGAAAATGTAATTAAATTTGAAAAAACGACAATTCTTTGTGACGCTTATGCTGGTGAAACTGCAACACTGAAACCACACTTGTAAGAAAACTTACAAACGATACTTGCAAAAACGTACATAAATGCACGGAAAATTCCAAGGCGAACATGTGAAAATACAAATTCTTTAAAAGAGAACAGTGAACCAGTCATCGACAGAGAAACCGTGCTTTTACTAACACAGCAATCTTATTTCGCAGGAGTATTCCTTCCTCTTGGCCCATCAAGGCTGATCTTCTGGAAAAGAAGAACCGCGTCGACAACACAGAGAACAAGCAATACAAGACCAAACACCTACAAAAATAACGATAACGTTAGTTTCCCCATAGAATCTCTGTCTTCTACTGTAGTGACTCATCTACTGTTCCTCAAAGAAGCAGTAGACGCATCTCCCCAAGTTGGTTCTGGCCTTCTAAATGTATGTGTGAGATACGCCAGACAGCTGGTAAGTTAAATAACACCCGTATTTAAATCCCACCAGCCTTGCATACAGCAGTCTACACCCCGGCTTTGTTCGATGTTTGCACTGGAGATGACGTGTTCTCCTTGCAAGCTAAGCCAACGCTGCGTTACGCCAGACAAGGCTTTTATCCGAAATGAAACCCCTTCTGTCTCTTTAAGGACTGCCTAATTAACGGTACTGGCTTGAGGAGAGTCAACATTTGTACACACAAGCCTAGCAGGAAAAATAAAACGGTGCTCCTCTCCTCTGAAGCTCTGAATGGGAAACATACTCCAAGTTGAAGAAAATGCAGGTAAGTATTTAAAAAAATACACAACTCCAGACAGGCAACTGGAAAACTTCGTTTACAAAATGCCTGCCAAGTTGCTCAGCTCTTGCCCCTCAGCCCTGTCCCACGTGCACACAAATTTTTTGATGCACGCACGTGTTAAATGGGACCGATGTGATCAGTGGGGCAGCGCCAAGGCGAGCTCTCCCAGGGCAGCACCGGCCAGGGCAGCCAGTGCCCCAGGAGTTTGGGCCGCGGGGCGATTCTCTCTCTCCCAGCACTGACGGTGTCATACCTTCTGCCCAAACTTGTTTTCCAAGCCACCTGCTTAGTCTCCAGCTTAACTTTAATTAACTTCACAAGTGAAAATACGCGCTACATTCTAGCGTAGCCACTTCATCAGAAAGGCTCCTTTTTGCTTAGGAGGTCGTTGCCAGCAGTCGTCAGCTTTCCACCTCATCGTCTCCTTAAGCTCATTTTGAAAAACTCCCGTGGCGAGTTCTGGTTTCTGGGTTTGGTTGCTTGTCACATTTTAGCTTAGCTTGTACTTCAGGAGACTTAAATACTTTCAAAGCCGAGTTTTTCCCCCCTTATTGTTTATTAATGTTAAATACGTTAGTTTTCATTTGAATTAAAAATGTGAGTTGCTTCAACCATTAAACTGGTTTGATCCTAAGTACACAAAAATCTTACAATCGCAGTATGAAAAAACCTTCTCAGCTGCCACCACTTCTCCGTTTGTGTCAGAAAAAATAATACCCCCATCCAGAGGGAGGTGCCAGCATGCCTGCGACAAAATATCGGCTCTCTTTAGCAGGACTGCAGGCCTTTGTTCTTAAATAGCATAACCAGACTGGACAGTCCGAAAAGGGCCATGGATTCTCCCACCTGGGATTTAAAGCTACAGAAGTAAATGTAGGTTCCTCAAATGAGTTAAACTCTAGGAGTTTTCAGTGTTAGTTCTTCTCTGTAGTAATTCCTAAGTCTAGGAATGTTTTTAAATTACCAGTGATTTGAGGATTATTTTTTTTTTTTGAGATACATGGGATGCATATTCACTTTTGTTTGCAACTGCCCAGCACGTTCTTCCACGACAGAGTCGCCTTCACGGTCCTACCGCAGCGTAAGGACGCCGCGCGGTCACAGTCACGCCCAGTTCCAAAACTGAAATCCCTTACTAATGTTCCTACTTACTCCTCCAGCCAGCGTCCCGTTGTTGGTCTTGACTATTACTGCAAACAGGCACACAATGAGGAGGAACAACGCTGCCACCACCGAGTTGAAAATATCCTGAAACAGCCAGTGGAAGCAAAGTATTTATTCTGAAATAGATGCCTGGAGAAGAAGGTGAAGAGCTCCCAGTACCGCCTGAATCATTAAAAATTGCCGCTCACTATGAAAATACCCACCTAGGATCGACAGTGACACCCAGTGGTTGGATGTCAAAAAGAGCGTTTGTGATAAAACTTCCTCATTTTACCCGCTTGTTTTGCCGTCCAATTTACGCGGCTTGGCCGCGCCCGCTGGCCTGAAGCAGCAAACGCGTTTTAAAAAGGGAGGTAAGAGAATCATAGAATCATAGAATCATAGAATCATAGAATCATAGAATCATAGAATCATAGAATCATAGAATCATAGAATCATAGAATCATAGAATCATAGAATCATAGAATCATAGAATCATAGAATCATAGAATCATAGAATCATAGAATCATAGAATCATAGAATCATAGAATCATAGAATCATAGAATCATAGAATCATAGAATCATAGAATCATAGAATCATAGAATCATAGAATCATAGAATCATAGAATCATAGAATCATAGAATCATAGAATCATAGAATCATAGAATCATAGAATCATAGAATCATAGAATCATAGAATCATAGAATCATAGAATCATAGAATCATAGAATCATAGAATCATAGAATCATAGAATCATAGAATCATAGAATCATAGAATCATAGAATCATAGAATCATAGAATCATAGAATCATAGAATCATAGAATCATAGAATCATAGAATCATAGAATCATAGAATCATAGAATCATAGAATCATAGAATCATAGAATCATAGAATCATAGAATCATAGAATCATAGAATCATAGAATCATAGAATCATAGAATCATAGAATCATAGAATCATAGAATCATAGAATCATAGAATCATAGAATCATAGAATCATAGAATCATAGAATCATAGAATCATAGAATCATAGAATCATAGAATCATAGAATCATAGAATCATAGAATCATAGAATCATAGAATCATAGAATCATAGAATCATAGAATCATAGAATCATAGAATCATAGAATCATAGAATCATAGAATCATAGAATCATAGAATCATAGAATCATAGAATCATAGAATCATAGAATCATAGAATCATAGAATCATAGAATCATAGAATCATAGAATCATAGAATCATAGAATCATAGAATCATAGAATCATAGAATCATAGAATCATAGAATCATAGAATCATAGAATCATAGAATCATAGAATCATAGAATCATAGAATCATAGAATCATAGAATCATAGAATCATAGAATCATAGAATCATAGAATCATAGAATCATAGAATCATAGAATCATAGAATCATAGAATCATAGAATCATAGAATCATAGAATCATAGAATCATAGAATCATAGAATCATAGAATCATAGAATCATAGAATCATAGAATCATAGAATCATAGAATCATAGAATCATAGAATCATAGAATCATAGAATCATAGAATCATAGAATCATAGAATCATAGAATCATAGAATCATAGAATCATAGAATCATAGAATCATAGAATCATAGAATCATAGAATCCGGCCCTTGCCGTGTGTTTCGTTTCTTAAGGGCCCGGCAAACCTAGCGCTGCCTGCAGCCTCGAGGTGTACGGCATCCGGCTTGCCCGTCCTGGCGGTGTCCTGAAGTCTTCATCCTTACCCAGCTTTGTAGCTGGGCCTGCGCAGTCAGTGGGCATCGCACCATGACTGGCCTCTCCCAAATGCACTTTTTCCCCAATGGAAACGAACTGAGGCGCAGTAAATGTGACAGAAGTCTGCTGCAAGAGTGTAGGCACTTGCCATTTGACTCTTTGTAGTGTCAAGGGCAATGGGGAACTTAAGCTAAAACTGTGTCAGGGCATGCCATGACATGTCTATTACGTGACCCAATGATTACCTAAAACTTTAAAGATTGGTAATTTAGCAAATACTTGTGTTAAGCAATAAGGAACCTAAAAACTTCACGGAGGGGCTCACAGTGAGGGGCTCAGTGTAACTGTAAGATAAAAGTTTTTGGTTGTAACTCCTGTTTATTTCCATTGTAGATAAACATCTGATAAAAGAAGATGATAGAAAGACTGTTGTAAGTATTTGCATTTCCTTCAGAAAACTGTGTAAAATGTGCAACCTCGTATTTTATTATAACTTGAGTGTGTGTATATTGGCAGCCATCAGATGTGGCTGTTCTACCGGGTGGTGTCCCGGTGGTGGGCCCGTGACGGGGCCTTACTCGGTGCAAACCTACGCATATCTCGTTCTGTAAATTGCTATAAAGTCGTGAGGGATTTGTGTGAACGCCTGGTATCGTGTAGTGAGAAGCGTTGGTTTGGGGTCAGTGTGGCCCGGGTAGCACGTCAGTTGTCCTGGACAAACCCTGCCTGTAAGGTGTTTTTTTAAATTTGGAATCTAATTACTTTAACCTATAAATCATTTTAAGACAGCTGAAGCAAAATTATCTTAGTTTATTGTGCAGGTGTGTGAAAATAAAAATGTAATGAATCTTAAGGTTTAAGCTCTTTAATGGATACTGAAGTTACGACTTCAGTTGGCATTTATGCGCGGGCTGGCTGCAGGGGTGCCAGAAGGAAAAGCTGCCCCTTGCCTGGTAAAGAGACAGTTGGTACAGGTATGGATGGCCGGGAGAGAAAAAGTGGTGGTCTGCGGGGAGGCACAAAATCCAGACTGATCCCCAATGTCTTCCTATAAAATAATCTATTTACATTATAGGGAAGTTAGTACGCTTGGTATGGAAAGAGTATATTTTTACATATGCCGTTTACTGCTATGCGATAGCACGTTTTTTAAAGGTGATACTGTTTTTCAACAGATATGTATCGAGGGGAACATTGCAAGTGGAAAAACAACATGCCTGGATTATTTTGCACAAACTACCAGCATTGAGGTACCGGACCTACGTTTCTTTGTCTTCATTTACATCATTAAGCGGTTGCTTGTCTTGACAAAATTGACTTGACTTACAAGTGTTGTCCTTTCTTCAGCTAATGGGAAAGGAACAGCAGGCTGTGAGCCAGTGCACTTACTGGTGCACCTCCCCCCAACTATTTACAGTCAAAGTGTAGAAGAGAAATTTAGATCATATGTAAGAGGATGCCAAACCATCAGTAAAACCTTAGAGTTTGTACCTCTGTAAAGGAACAGCAACCCATGTGGGTTGGGCGTGTTTGGGCATGCTTGCTTGCTATTGCATGTCACGGAAATCTTAGCTGTGTCTTGTACCAAGCACAGTAAAGATGAAGAAGGAATGATGCAAAAATAGTGATGTCGTGTAACTGAGATCCCAGTAAATGGAGGCTTTTTTAAAAAATGAAAAATCTGTTAGAATTGTTTCTGGAGATTCCTTAGACTGGGATGGGATTTGATTTTGTATTGCTTAGAACAAGATTAGGGGAAGGGCAGGCTTACTGTATTGAAAAAAAAATCAAGGTCACACCTCAGTGAGCAATTGCTTTTGCGTACATCAGATACTAATATATTTCCTGGCAGACCTGGGAACACATTAGATAACAAGTCTCAGGATTCCTCCTAGAAATGTGGAGTTGCCAGATGTTACTTGGTAATTTAACAGGAATGGTCCTTATGGAATAGATAACTAATAACCCAAAGGACAGCAAAGTTTAATTTGCATATAGTGCAACATTTTTTTAAAAAGCTAGTTAACTTCCTAGGCTTATCAGATTCTCTTAAGCCTGGCTTTACAGCATCCTTGGAGTTTTAGACCCTGTTTGAACGAGATGAGTCTCTTGTGATTTTACCTATTCAGGGTAGAAGCTTTTCTGACAAATTTTGTAAAAGTTTTGAATACATTTTGTTTGTTAGAGCAGAAGAATAAAATGAAAAGTAACATGATAGCAGTCTGATCCCCTTTTCCTTTGCTGACAAGTGTTAACTCTGAGAAATTAATTTGTGAGGGAATGAGCAGGTCACTGAGATGCAGTCGGTGCTCAGCCATTCTTTCCCTTACAGGGTACTGATTTTGACTTGAGAAAGTGAAATTATATCCAGGCTCATTACATAATCAATCCAGTGTTTTATTTTGGCGGTTTGAAGATGCTAAAGAGATGTTGTATAATGATATTTCTCTATTTTTATACCAGTGATCATTATTACCTTTTGTATGACAGGATTCAGTGTGGTTTTAGAAGAGGGATGAGCTTTCCAATAAAAGTCATGAATACTCTTGACTTACTGAATGAGTGTTCGTTACAAATAGTTGTAGACTTGCAGGGTCAAATCAAGTATTTGGAATCTAAAACATGTTTAACATGGAGTAATTCTTTTTAACGAGGTTTTGACAGAACCGGTGACTAAGTGGAGGAATGCTCGTGGTCATAATATCCTGGTAAGTGGCAGAAATTATTTCTACAATTACAATTACTCTTCTTTTAGAAAGACGTGCATGAGGACTTCCTGCCAGTCAGCAAAACGGTTACAAAAGGTGTGTTCATAATCTCATATAGCAAAAAAATAAAGCTCCGTGATGCGGAAGATCTTTTACTGTGATTAAGACAAGCTTATAATAGAAAAGTTGCATATATAATGTGGTTTCGGCAAGGACTGGGTCTTTTACTGGGTATGAGCTAAAGAAATTCACAGAAAGGTAAGCCGTGAGTGTGACAATTGGTTCTAAATCTAGTTATGCCTCTTTCAAAGAAGGGAAGAATGCCACTCAGAAGGCGAGGGGTGGATCTGATTGGTTAATGTTGTTTGACTGCAGAAGATCAGGAAAGTTCAGTCCTGTGAGGTGCTGAGAGCTTCTGTTGTCTTTGGGGTAGTTGTCGTTTCTCAGAACCGTTCCCCACAAGTATGTCCCTTTGTCACAGCTGTGCTTGGAGACAGCGTGTAGGGCTCTGACCACATCTGCGATGCGCTTTTGCTGGGGTGGTTGCAGTGGTTTGTGATGTCAATCTTGCCTGCTCGTATGATCGCCTCCATTGCAAAAATCTCATTGCTGGCTGAGATGGGTATCTCAAGCTTACCTGGAATTTGCTGTCAACATAGCGGTGTGGATCCACCCCAAACCACACATGCCCAAACGTGTATTTGATGCAATTACTGCTAGCATAGGTCCTCTGGAAAAGTACATTTTGCCTACTAGGATTTGCTGATGCTTTACTTTCTTATTATTAGTAAAGGGATGGGGCATGCTTGGCTGTGTTGCACATCATCACAGCAATCTGCGTGCTTCAGAATACTTTCTCATTCTGATTTTGGACAAGGAGAAAAGAAAGAGGTCAGATCTGTGGACTGAAGCCATGCTGCTGACTTAAAGCTTGTCACCTCAGCAAATAGACAGTGGATGATGTCTTATTTTGCGTGAGATCTTTTCTCTGCTTTGCAGGATAGGCTGTTGCTTGTAAGCATATGTGTGTGTGGAACTGCAGCAATCGGAAAGAGAGTGGGAGATCTGAGAGCTGCTTTGGGGATCCTTTGGGAAGAACAGTTGTCTGTTAAAAGCCACCTTTTCTGAGGCCCAGAACATGCTTACTGGAACCGTATTTGCCTTTCCGGATGGACTGGGTATATTGAGAGCCTGTCAGTGCACTAAAATAGAGTAGCAGATACCTTTCTTTTAATTACTAAACATATTTGGACTGTCTCGTATGAGCTGTGCCTTGGACCTGACTGTTCCAGGTGCAAAGTAACTTAATTCCAGTTGCCTTCTGCGAGCATTGCAAGTGCCCCACTTACTGTCCTTAAGGACCAGGACTGTAATTCTTACAACTGCATTGTGGAGAGCAAATGATTACTTGATTTTTGTCAAAGCTGGTGTCAGCTGTTTTGATGCACTTCTTTTAGCGATTCTGTTGTAGTGCAAAAGCTTACGAAATACTCAACTTCACTTTTTTTGCTGTTTGACCTAACCAAAATGTCCGTCTGTCTCACTTCCATCTCTAACCCTAGGGCTTAATGTATCAAGATGCATCAAGATGGGGGATAACATTACAGACCTATGTACAGCTTACAATGTTGGAGCAGCATACCAGACCAATGGTAAACAAACATATTTTTCTTTTAATTTAAAAAAGAGTTAGATGTGATTATGAGTAATAAATATTATTAACCTCGCATCCAAAGTTAAGATGCTGTTTGCATTCTTTCTTCGTTCGTGCAGTGAGTATGAATTTTTATGGTGCAAAGGCATCGTTGATACGCTCAACACGTGCTCCAGGGGCAAAACATCTGCCTCCTACCTGCTCAGAACTTCTACTTCCCCAAACTAATACTGCCTTTTTTGCACCACCCTTATGAGCTAGACTTGCACGAATCTCTTCATCATCACACATCAGTGACTTGACTGTAATTGCTCTCTATATAAATTTAGCTGTTTCAAATCTTCGGCAAACATTAGGTAATTTTAAAGATAGTGTTCATTCTACTGCTCCATGCTGCCTAGCACAAATTTAGCCACTGCTTTTGCTGTTTCTCCAAAATACATGCACTGAAATTTTCTGTTGTCTTTCTTGAGATGGTTTGCATCTTTTTTTTTGGTAATTTTTTCTTTTTCTATATTGATTCACACACTCTACCTTTTTACCAAGATCTGTTCATTTCTCTTTCCTTCCAACACCTTTTGTTACATTCTGTGCTAAATCTTCCATTCCCTGATTACAAGATCTGATCTTAGGTGGCACGCTTATGTCTTAATGATTGTTCTTGCATTATATTTTCTGAGTTTGTGTCAGGGCAAACTTGCAGAAGTACCACATATGATAGTGATACTGCATATATAATCATTAGCTTTTTGGAAGAGGTGTTTTTTCAAGGTAATAGAAATCTCATTCTGTTGCAGAAAACGTTCATTCAAAAATTCCTGAGGCTCGCCCTGCATTTTAATCTGTGCTTTGCTGTTATTTGCCATTTGAGCCTTGCTGGAGCAATTGTTGCTTCCATGGTCTTTAATGAGCGGAATACGTGGTTGGAAGGAGCTCTGCCGGGGTGCCTTGCTCTGCAGGGGCCAGAGAGCATCACAAAATCTCTCTTGTCCAACATGAAGCGCTATTCGAACATGTGCAAGGCTGGCTAAGGCAGCAGTACTTTGTCAGTTGTAATTACTTCTTTAAAAAGTTCTGTTTCCTCCAGTTTTTCTGATGTTAGGCCTGTGCTGTTGACACAGTAACACACCTGAAGGTGGCAGCAATTCAGGTAGCAATAGTTCTGTTGCTCTGCAAGTCCTAAGTGGATTGCTGCTCCGTTGTCCCCCTAGTTAACTTCTGCTGCTCAGCTGAGTGCTGCTGCAGTTACCTTTGAAACTTGCATATGAACAACAAATTAGTTATGTAGGTGTTTAATAATGCAGTGACTGTAAGTAAGATTAAGAATACTTGGTTTTTGTGGTTCCCACCCTCCCAGGAAATGTTTTTATCACAAGATCTGGAAGAACTGAAAATGTGAGGTATTTCATAATGTAAGGGACGTGATGTGCAATGTGAGCTTGAAAATAAACAAGCATGCTGAAAAATGTGAACTAGTCGGTGACTGTCTGGTTTTATTTTGTAGATTTCCCCCATAAGAATGATGGAGCGATCAATACACAGTGCAAAATACATTTTTGTAGAAAATTTGTATCGAAGGTACGGTATATGGTTTTCTACTTTATTTTCTTGACTTTTAGATTAAAAAAGTATAATGACTGATTATTTCTTTGGTAATTTGCATCTAAATGGTCTGTGAAATGTCAGTGCTTTGTTGGAGTGGCAGTGTGTTTTGTATGGGGCGTGTTGCCCGCCGGTAGAATGAAACCTGCAGGACATGGGCCAGACGAGAGCCTTTTTCGGAAGTGCTCTTGTGTATTTAGAATATCTTATTATTTAGAACACCGTTTATTGAAGTTATCTGCTTTCCAGCTGAATACAAAAGTCTTGCTTAAATCAAAGCAAACACATACTGAACGGGTCAAAAGCCATGAGGATATAAAGAATAACAGTGTAGGAGGGAGGGAACCTAGGTAGTGTTACCCAGCCCAGCATCCAGGATTGGCATTTCCTGCAGGCAGGAACGGAGTGTGAAGCGTTCCAGCCCTCACATGTTATTGCTCAGAATCAGGATTCATAGGATCTAAGTAGCCTGGAAACCATGGTAGGCTAGCGAGTAGAGAAAGAACAAGAGCTGTTTGTCTCTGAATGTCACTTTCTGAATTGGGTCCCCACCCCCAGGTGTGCTTGGGCCAGAGGAAGAGCAATTGGGCCTAACCCAGGTTATTTTGTTGTGGGGAATAAGATTGTGGCCTGAGATAGAAAAAACATTTATGACCTGGTCAATGTATAACTCATCCATCACATACTAACTAAAGTACTGCAGTAATCAGCGCTGATTTTTTTTTTTTTTGTTTTGTTTAGAATGCTGACCTTATATTGAGAAGTGTATCTCATAGATCGTTGTTTTAATGGATTTTTCAGTGGTCTTAAGGGACAAAACCAGTTTCTTGCCCTGTCTGCAGGGAGAATGGCTGCAGGCCACAAGATGGCATCCATGCTACATAAGCTCCTAGTGTGTTACTGGAACTGCTTGGAAAGTTGAGACACACACACAGTAAGATGTGAAGCACCAGAAAGAGATGTTATTTATCCCAGTCTGTATGCAGTGGAAATCTACTGCAATGTCTTTCTCTTTTTTTTTAATCACTTTTTTTTTTTTTTATATTGTCGACAAAGTGCTTTTGTCCCAAAGACTGAGAACTTTGTTGCTGTGAGGCTAAGTCTGCTTGTGTCAACTCTTATTATTATATTATTATATTATTTTTAATGTCTGTTAATTTTGTAGTAACACTTTTAAGGGCATCTGAGATGTTTCGTGGCTTCAGCACTTTTTAATGTTGGACAGAAGGCATTTGCTTTGTTTTGTTACAGCAAGCTAGAAGGTAGCTGATGCTACCAATAGCAAACCAAAATATGATACAAGGGTGTGTGAAAGGATTGTAAATAAAACAAGGGAAAATATGGGCTACGTGAAAATGGCTATTTTTGAGTCACATTAAAAAATAAGTAAAACTGTTCTCCCTCATATCCTGTCTCCAGTGGTAGCCAGAAGTACTTGAAAAGAGTGTGAGAACAGGCTAAGTATTTATGATAATTTCTGAGTGTGTCCAGTAACTTACAGTTTAGGGGCTTCCTTATTCAGCAGTGGTTTCTCTGTATTTAGTAACCCACAGGGAATTTTTTTCCACGAACCTGTCCAGTTTCCCCCTAAGCTCCTGTAAACATTTAGTTTCCAGGACATCCTATGGCAAGCAGTTCCATAGCTTTACTCCATGTTATTTGATCACTGCCCTATCCTCGCCTGTCGTAGTCCTTTAAAGATACCTAGACTTGTCTCAAAAAAACAACACTTATTTCTGTATACAGGGAAGAAAACTGCATATAAGAAAAGGCAGGATGATAACGGGAGTATGGAAGTAGTAGTAACCACAACTACAGTAGAAACAAAGTGCATTTCAGAGTTCTGAAAGCGTGTGAAATCTTGCAATAGGAGAAAGTATTGTAATGCAGAGGTAGTACCACCCCTGTGACTTAAACCAACTACTATAGAGCCCACATTAGGGGGCAGGGAAAGTGGTCCTAGTAACTGCAGGTTGTTCGTCTGCCTCAGTATTTAGCACAACTTCAGAGCAAATGATGAAGGAAAGAATAATTAAAGCTTTGGACAAAAAATGTAAAGCCAGTAACCAACAAGACATGCTGTTAAGACTAATCTAGTAATTGTGTTCTGTAACATTCCACCCCCCCAACCAGAGGCATTCTCATCAGTCTGAAGTTACGCATTTATCAAGGAGGTTTTGGGAGACTTTCATGAACGATTATTCATAAATGCAGAAGATGGCATTGTAATGTGATAGGAAATCCCGCTGAAGGGAGATACTGATAGGGGATGGATCAGGCTGGAAGGAGGTTACTCATGTTGGATCAGCCTTTGGATTGATGCTTTGGTACAAAGGGTATGCTGATAAATTCTGTCATTCAGTTGAACTGATAACAGAGATTTCAGCTATAAGATGAAAGATTTTAAGTTGAAAAGCAGAAATATCTATATATCTTTTTATATATTTGTAGACAAAAATTGATCACAAAATAATGCTAGTGTTGTGTAGCCCAGCAAAGAGTAAATGTGACTCTTGGAAGTATCTGGCAAAGGGCTTCCAGGAGGGAGACGGAAATATTGGTGCTTTTGTACACAGCTTTTATGAGAGCTTTTTAACATTACTTTTTACACTTCTAACTGCTTGTTCATGATCTATGAACTAAAACTGAAACAGGTGTGAAGCTGAGATACTGGTATGATCAAAAGAATGGAAAGCCTGTTTAGAGAGACAAAACCAGCTTGAGATTGTATAGAAAAGTTGGGAGAATACACTTGTCACCTATGGGCACACCGGGTGCAAACACAAAAAAAGGGAGTTATTGAAATTGCAAGACTATAATAACAAAAGAATAATTAGACACAAAAAGGCTGTGGATACATTAAGGACTGAAAATTAGAAGATGGAGTCTTAGCCATCAGAGGAACAAAGAGAAAATACTTTACCCTTGGTAGTTTTATGCAGAAAGATAATAGTGCCCGGTGGCAGGGGAAAGGCCTCGTAACTTAAAACGATTGCTTCCCACGCTGTGTTTTTTTGTTTAACTGCTGCATGAAAATTTAAAAAATCATTCTGTAACTAAATGGACTTTGCAAAGGAAAATTCCTTTGTATCCTCTGGAGTCTTTTTCTTTCTTTGTTACTTCCTAGAAGGAATCTCCTGTCTCTGTAGGGGAGTGATCCTAATTCTCGTGCAGGTTAGTCAACATGCAAAAATCATGCAGAGAACACAGGAGAGGTTGCCCATTGTAGAAGTGGAATTATGCCTGTCTGATGGAAGGTCTGGAAAACAAAACTGACCTGACATATCTTTAAATTTTGCTGAAAATGTTATCAAAAAGCCCCCTCAGGCTCAAGCTATTCAACAGGTATCTTCAGAAGCAAACGGATTGTTAAATAGCTGTATGGAAGGCATCTTCCCGTTTAAAGTATGTAAAAATGAAACAGAACTTCAAAATAAGGCTCAGACTGAATGGGGTAAGCATGCTGCAAAGAGCGAAGGTTATTTTCTGCTTTCTCTTCTGTAAGAAAGTATTGCTCAGGGTCCCAGTCTTAAAAGATGGAGAAGAATCCCTTGTTATCTCTAGTCTACACAAGCTCTTCTCCTTTAGGAGAACGATTAGTTTTAAGCCAGGGATGAAGAGCTGTGGGAATATCAGGAATACCAGCTCTTCTATGATCCACTGTCACTCAGTATTTGTGTTTTGGCTTTGCAGGCTTTTTCCCAGAGAGAGAAATAGAGTAAGACTTACGACGATGATGGAAGGCTTAAATTGTGAGCAATTGCTGTGAGCTTCTCCGGCATGCAGAGATATGCATGAGTATCCAAGTTCTTACTGCCATTGCACATCTGAGTTTAGCACTGAAAGCCACGGTCATGTTAGGTGTAAAACTGTAGAAGAATTTTAAATGTGTGCACGTGAGTATGCATGATATGTTATAGGGTAAGCACTAGCAATTCACTTTGTCCCATTTGAATTCATAGTTATTTATGATACAAAGCTTGTTCCATTCATGTTTAACTTTTGCAGTAAAAACTTCACTTGGTAGGAGTCAAATGTCAGCAAACTTTGGAAATGAAAACACCCTTTAGTGCCTTTTACATTACCTGTATCTTTATGGATCTTGAGCCTCATCCAGAATCCTCACAGGATTATCCAGGGAACTCCAGTGACACAGGCAAGGCGAAGGAGGCACGTCATCTGCAGGGCAGGTCCATGCAGAATTGACCTGGATGTATCTTTTAGGGTATGAATAGTGGGGCTTTTTCTTACTTCTAATTCCTTTTGACCTTCCTCGTTTCCCCATAGATCTTGGAGAAAAGTAGCAGAATCAGTATTTGGCTTATGTATACGCCTGCTACCCAAAGCCATATGTGATTGATCTGTTAGAAGAATAGCAGTGAATTGTGTTATCCCATTTCTTGGGTGCTTTGGGAGGCAAGATATTCAGCTGGATGGCAGATAAAGAAGGGAGGTGGCACGAATATAGGTTTTGCTTTCTTGCACACTTAAGTGGAAATATCTATGTGGATTACCTTTACTCCGTTTTGGCAGTGATGAAAGCATGTGGCCAGAGGAACGGTTTAGAAATCTGTGGAATCTTTTTCATCGGCACTATTTAAAATGTTGCAACTGGTCTTAATCATTCAGCTGGAGAAGATAGGAGCCGCTCAACCCCATCTCTTTTGTTATATTTCTATTGCAGAGGCGTTTAGGAAAGAGGGTGGAATATGTGTTTCTATTACCGGTTTGAAGATGCAATAATGTAAAACTAGTAATATTTGAGTATTTAGGAATATGGTAATAAGTGAAAATTCCACTACTAGTAAAAATGTAATATGTGATTCTTAATATGTCCTCTACAGACTCCCTTTTACATGAGTTGTTTGATATTTTATTATTCTTACTGAGATAACTTTGGGACAGTGATATCCAATATTGTCTATGCTCTCTGAATACAGAGTTCAGATTAAGCATGTTGAATTTTTCAGTATTCTTACCACAGATTTTTTTTTTTACAGTGGGAGTAAATTTTATTTACACACTTTTTCACTGCTCATTAGTATGGCTTCTGTAATGAATTGTCAGTGCTGCTTAGTAAATCAAGCCTTTCTGGTGATGTGCACTGCAGTAGTTCAGATATATTTGAAATCCCGATGTAAAGAACTTGAGCAATAAATAACCATTGACACTAATTTGTTGTTATTGTATAAATGTCAACGCGGTAATGTTTTTCTTCTTAGTCACCAAGTAATTATTTTTTAACTGTTGTGGGAAGAACAAGTAATGTTTGTTTGTAAGTGTTAATAGTAGAAACTTTGTGTTACTAAGTACTTTTTTTAAAACAAGAAAAAGATTTGGCCTTTCTATTGTATAAACAATGCTTTATGAGGCCTTCAGTTTGGGTGGGCATCATATTGGTCTTGTTTTCATTTTGCGTACGCTGGAGTAAATTTGGAGTAATTTTAGTCAGGTGGGAAAAAAATGTGAGTTTAGATTGGATCTCTCCATGCTGTTCAGTGAGTGATTACTTTTATATTTATTCAGCGGAAAAATGCCAGAGGTGGATTATGTTGTCCTAACTGAATGGTTTGACTGGATCCAGAACAACACTGATATTTCGGTTGATTTGATAGGTAAAATTTTGATGGGATCTGGAGGGGCATGTTTGTGGGTGGGTTTCCTTACTGGGAGAAAAAATAATTCTTGTTTCTTGGGTCATAAATAATCACATTATTCAATATAATAATGGTTGCAACATGTAGCGTCACCCCGCATGAATTTGTGGATGCTTCATGGATTGATTAACAGTAACGCCAATGGGGAGGTTCAGTGGTGGTATCCAAATTGGGATTCTTTCCTTCTATAGCTTGTGAAGTAAGTTTCTTCTTTGCTTTTAAAGCTGATCCTTGAACATAACTATTATGGTTTTTTTATGGCAGTTTATTTGCAGACTTCTCCTGAAGTTTGTTATGAGAGATTAAAGAGAAGATGCAGAGAAGAGGAAAAGATCATTCCTCTGGTAAGGAGTTCCTTCAATATATGTGGTTACAATGAGCTTTAAAAACATAATGATTGCAATCTACATGCTAAAATCATATCCTGAGTGTATTGCCAAAATGTGGTGCAGCTGTTTCCATTGCAAACTGAAACTTCAGTATTTAATCTTATTTTATAAAAATGATCTATCACGCACGCTGACTTCCCCAAGTGCTATGTTTTAGTAATCAGTGTACTATAGCTGACTGTTTAGGTGGAGTAGTAATCAACTGTTAATCTTCTCTAAGATGTAAAAAGGCAATTGCTTTTGTATCATTAAACGGCATAAAGGCACCCAGTTGAAGCACAAATACCTGTGCACACAGGTGCTGAAGATTTATGTGGGCACTTTCTGTTGTGTGCTATTACCAGGATGTTCATGCATGAAAAGTGTCTCTGGGTCTGAAAACAAGCAACTTATTGAAAATTGTTAGCATGGGAATCTGCTTAAAAATAAAATGTAGTAATTGAAAGATCGCTTTCTGTGTCACAGTTGCAGAATGGCCCTTCATTAAACAAGTTTTCTCCTAAAGAAAGCTGAACCAGAAATAAACGTAGTTACAGAAGACATACTGTGTACTGCAAGGTCTAGTGTTGGGTAATTGAGTAGAAGCAATTGTCAGTTGAAGATACATGCAAAGAGCTAAATTTTGGGCCATGTGAAATTTTGCCTTGAAGAATAAATATTTGCTATAATGGATTTGAAGAGACATTGCGTTACTTTGCAGCTCTACTGAAGGGCGAGGCGGAGCAGTTATGAACGAAAAATGTTAAGTGGTCTCCATGAAAAAAACCTAATAGTTGATGACAGGCAGAAATGCTTTTAGAGGAAATCAAGTCAGAGTTAGGAGAAAGCGAACTGGGAATTTTAGGAAAACGCACTGACACAGAAAGTGCCTTCAATACATATTCTTTGCAGCCTTGCCCTTTTTGTCCTTACTTCTCTTTGTTGTATTTTTCTCTGTAAAATCTTGAGCCAGATTATACCTATGGGAGAGAAACGTGGTTCTTGATCTTAAAAGGAGCTGAGAGCCCTGTGTTCTGTAAGCTCTGTGTCTTTGAGGTTCTTCATGGAGTAAAACCTTACAGTGGGAATTCATTTTTCTCAGAAACCTTCTGATGATTTTTATTTTTGTTAGCGGAACTATCTGATGCTGGATTTTATATGTAGTTCTTAACTACTTACGAAATGTGTAAAAATTGCAATGTGTGTTTCATCCCTGGGCATATGTGTTACTTGAATGCCTCTTTTCTAGGAATATTTAGAAGCTATTCACCAGCTCTATGAAGAGTGGCTCATTAAACATACACTATTCAAAGTTTCCTGCCCAGTGCTTGTGAGTATAATTTTAGTTATAACCAATTAAGCATAATGGAGGATTGTACTCTCCAAATACTAAGTGTGTTATTTAGTGGTAACAGAAAATAAATCTGCTTTTCTAATAAACTTTGGAGAAGGAAAATCTCAGAAAAATGTTTACAGCTATCCAGAGTGTATAGCACGAAAGTCTGGTCTTCCGTCTCTTCAGTGGAATTTGAGGGGCTGTTCACTGCAATTGTTTGCAGGATCAGACACGTAGCTTTTCAATAAATGCCAAATTCTGAACAGAAAGCTAATTCGACAGATCTCTAGGAGTATATTGGTTTGGCTTCAGTGGCAGTCCTGTTCTATTTTGCTCAAAAGCAAACATGTTTTATGGTGTCATCATTGCTAATGTTCATCTTCTTCTTTTCAAGGTTATTGGAGCTGACCATGACATGCAGAAAATGATAGAAAAGTATGAAGAAAACCGTGACCAAATACTAAACCCATATAATATGCAACACCATTTATAGATGTCTGCCGTTGTTGTATTTTAAAAAACTTGTTTATGAATTCTGATTTGGGGGCAATTTTGAGTATATTCAATATTTCTGAATATAATGGGTTTTGCTTTTGAATTACGCTTTGTAGAACGTTGTGGAATTACTGCTATGAAATGTTCAGAAACAAGTCATAAACAGAATATAAGCCAATTCCCTTTCATGTTTTACGTTCTCCATCAGCTTTACTGTGTCAGTTTGGTTCAGCTAAAATATGGCTGTTTCTCCCATTTCCCACTTCACTGCTGCTTCCTATAAGTAACCTGAGTTGTTTGGGGTTTTTTTCCCCCCAAGACAACCCTATTTTTGTAATTTGAAAGAAATAGGTCTGTACAAGAAGGGGGATGTCCTTTTTTATTCTTAGAGGAAGCAAATGAAGTGCATCAAGTTAAAGTAGTTTTGTTAAATAGGTCTTGCCAGGTTGAAATAGCGGTCTTACTCTAATCCTGCCTCACTAATGCAATTTCATTGAATTCAGTAAGTTTCTTCTGCTTTACATGAAATCACAATACAGCTGTAGCTCTGAAGACAACAATGCACTAGCATAGTCCCACTGAATTCCCACTGGGGAAAAAAAAAATGTTTTCATAAGTAATTGCAGAATGGCTCCGAGGCTTTTTTTTAAGCCACATTTTTAAAAGGGCTTATTTCTCTCCAGTGTTCACGAAATCTCTGGCCCTACCATCGCTGAGTTAAGGACTAGTGAAAACATAGGGTGTGCAGAACTGTATTTGTTGTTCCTTTCAAATGTTTATAAAAAACAAAATTAAGTTTTTTCCTAATGCTTTTGGATTCTTCGATTGTACTTTTTTTAAAGAAAAATACAGATGGTTCTTTGGGTTTATATCTTGACCAGTTTATTGTGACTTACAGGTACTTGGAGAGTAGAGAAACATAGTGGAGGTTTCATCTTTGCCCTAGTTAGCTAAAATGTGGAGTTGCTCTTAATTTCTGCTTTACCCTCTGAGTATTGTCTTCAAGACAATTCTTTTAATGCAGCAGTTCTGACTGTTTTCATGTTACTTTTTTTTCTCTTTGAGAATAATACCTGAAGGATGGTATATAATTTTTAGCTCCATAGTAGTTTTGGTTGGTTTAATTGGAGCAAGCAAGGTTAACAGCGCTTTAAAACATGCTCGTATTAATGTAGTTGAGCACCTGTCATAGCTTTGTAGTGAATGCTCCTAAAAATAGCTAATGTCCAAGACTTCAGTTAGTACTTTGATCACTTACTACAGCCATTTGTAACTTGTCGGAGGATATAAATTTTCAGTTACTTGGCTTTCCCATGTTCCACCTGATTTTGAACAGTAACTGATGGTATTATTTTTGGAGATCACGTCACTGCCTTTATTTTGTAGTTTTGTGTCAGCTCGTTTTGTGGTATGCTCAGAAGCATTGTAGTTGAAATGACTGCATCGTTTTCCAAGGTGGGAAATGCAGTTCAGTTCTTGGTATTGCCACCTGGTGGGATACTTTTTTCCCCAATCAGTAGAACTTAATAATGATCAATGTGCTGAGAGCGCATTTCCTAGTGAAGTACTGTGCTAGTATACTGAAGCTCGTGAACTCAGTATTGCCATTCTGTTGTTCTGTTGTAAAGCTTTAGAATTCTAGCTTAAAAATTTTTGTGTGTTAAGTAATGATCTTACTTATTGAAGCTTATTTGTAGGGGGCTAGTCGTCATTCTTGAAAAAGTTTGTTAAACTTTCAAAATAGTTTCAAAAGAGACCAAAAGAACTATTTCTTTGGAAATAGTTCTATAAACTTGAAGTCTGGACATCTTCAGTTTGTTATTAATTCATTATGGGTTGTAGGACCTAAGGATGTATATTTTGCACATGGTCCAGAATATAGCAGTTAATAATTTTGTACAGAGAATCTTACAGTACAAAGAACCGCACTGTTACCTTTCAGCTTTTGAAAGCAATTTACGCTTTTTGGTCAGATTTTTTTTTTCTCCTTCATTATATCAAACCAGTAGTTTGGATGGAGGTTATTGATATTAGTAATTATAATAGAATATGAAGGAATAATTTCTATAACTTATTTATTACAAATTACAGATGCAATGGCTACAGAGAACATGTTTGTTTTATGTTTTGCTATCAATTTTCATGTATAGATTTTCAGATACAGGAAGGTTGTGATATTTAATGAAAACTGGGAAAAAACCCAAACGGGTTGCTTGTTACATGTCATAAATGTAAAATGTTTGCAGTTTGGTACAGATGTGTAGATAAAAATACTGTAGTAATCATAAATAGCTGGTTTTAAGCCTGGAATTTATTTGCTTTTGTTTCCTGAAATCTCTCAGTTGATGAGTGGAGGGGAAAAAGGGCAATCAGCATTCATCTGATATGTATTTTGTTCCTTTTATGACTGTCTAAGAAGCAGTGACTGGGTAGCAAGTCGCCAAATACCACAAAGTACGCTCTTTCTGTAGGGAGACTGATCTTCAGTACCAGTGGAATGGATCGCATAAACAAGCTGCCACTTCTCTTGACTTTTAAGATTTGGTCCATAATATGGACGTAGTCTATACTTGTAGACTGAACCATACATAACTGGTTTTGCGTACATTATAGCTATTGTGGATTTAATTACTTCTGTCACAATGAGTTCCACATCTAAACTGCAGTATGTGTGAAAAGTGATTATTTCCTTTTGTATTGCCTTTTCTTTATTACATGCTAGTCTGGATAGAGGGATGTCTTCTCCAGACTTTGGTGTTTACTTTGTCCTGGTCAAGGTGTCTTTGCAAATCAATATCTGAGAGCAGCATGTAAATTGATTTGAAGTAAGTTAGAGAGACTGGCAAAATTAAAACATTTTACAGTTGCATTCTCTTAGCGTGGCCTTTTGTGTATTTCTTCTAGCGTGGGAAGCATGTTTAGGTCATAGTTTGATTAAACATTTCAGAGGTGACTGTTCAAAAACGCAGGTCTTAAGAAACCTCGAAAATTGTTTTCACCAGTGTAATTAGCACACAAAACAACTGTCTACACCAGGAAATGATCCAGCATCTCTCTTCAGTGCACTTTCTCCTGCAGAGACTGTAAGGAAGTGATGGGTATTCTGCTCAGTTGCTATTAAGATTCAGACCTGAAGGTCTCTCTCCCTCCCTGAATAATGGCTCTCCCAGCAAGTTACTTTGCTGTTTCAGGACTTGGAGAAGCCAGTCCTTCCTGTAGCATATGGAGGTTTAAGTAAACACTGTGCATTTCTAAAGCAGGGTAAAGTCAGGTGAGAATTATGGTGGTGTTCCCCCCCCACACACACACTTGAGGGGGCAACAGAAAGTTGCAAGCTTTTTTTGAAAACGAAAAGTTTAGTTTCAGAACAAAAACTAGCAGTTGGTAGATTAATCCCTATGCAAGAGAAATGTAGTCTAGTCCAGATCAAATTTTTAATTGATCATTTAACATTTTTTTAAGAGGCTGGCATGCGATAATTATTTGTGCTGTATCAGGATCAGGGCACCATTTTGCTGAGCGTTGTGTAAACATACACCTACAAGAATGCTCTCTGAACATGCAGAGGTTCAATAAGCACAGTGACAGAATACAGGAGCTCTGTTTGTTACCTGTGTATTGCATACATACTACTTGATTTTACTTCTTTTTATGCCAGAAAGCTTTGAGTTGAATCCTCTGTTCCACCCTAGAGCCCTTTGCCTGGTAACAGCAATACATTCCTCCCTTGCATCCCCCAGAAAAAGCGTTGAGCTGTTAGGACTTCCACTGTGAGTATGCTGCTCTGCAGATGGCACTATATTCCATTCCAATCCTAATTTCAGGGTTTTTTCCTATTCAACGCTGTAAAAAGCAGCCTTGTGGGATTTAATTTGCTATCTCACTTAGAGAGCTGTGCCAATCAATTTCCAATGGGTGGGACCTTTAGCTGTGGTGGTGGGTTACTGGTGGTTATTCACCCAGTGTTTAGGTACAAGTAAGGTAGAAAATGATAAAGCAGTGTTTCAGAAATCGTCTTTTTTTGTGGTGAGACAACTCTTAACAATAGAAACATGTATCTTCATCAGTGTTTTGCAAGCCCTTGCCAGGCCCTCTTGGGTATGCTTTTGTCTGTGTCTCAGGGAATTGTTTTTTAAGATATGGTGATTTATAACTCTGAAGCAAATTGTAATTTCTTTATTAATTTAGTGTCTGCCTGGGGTCTAGTTGTGTGGTTTGGGTTTTTTTGGGGAGGGGTTTGGTGGTTGGGGGTTTTTTGGTCTTAACACTGAAATTTGGATTTCATTCTTGGCTTTAAAGCCAACAAAGTTTGTTCTAAACCCAAGCTATGCTTTTTGAGAACCTTATCTCCAGACAGGGCAAGGGTGTATGCGTGATACAAATATTAAGGGGAGAAAACAACTATTCTAGGAGACCCAGCGGGGAGAGGTTGTGTGAGTATCACCCAGCTACCAGGTCTGCTGCCTGAGCTCTGTGTCTGCACTGATCAAAAGAGTTTCTCTAATCCACGGCTTGGGAGAGCTGAGCCATTCAAAGTGGTTGTGTGTAGCATATAAATTCGGGAACAGAATTGGCCTTGTGTCTCTATGATAGAAAGACATCCAATCTGTCAGTAAATCCCCACTCAATTCATAGACGAATCAGGACCAGCTGTAGCACAATTAAAGCTGTCAGCTCACCAGAGGATAGGCACACATTTTACAAACACAAACCACCGTCTTTTAGAAAGGGGCCCAGGCAGCCCTCTTGCTGACTAGCAGCGCTGCTTGAGTGGTTGCTCCTATTTAAGTTAATTAGGCAAGGAGAGGTGCAGTGGTTACTACCAACAAGAGGACACTGGCAGATGGGGTCAGAAATCATATGGTTCCTCTTGTCTGTCCCTCTTCTCAGGTCTGACTGTATTTACAACTAGGATTTTAAACCCAGTTTTACCTTACTCATGAGGAAGCAGCTGCACTTTTGTTTCAGCTGGTTTTCAAATCCTGTCTCCTCACAAGCATCTTTAAAGCAGGTGTCTCTTGAGATCCCAGAAATTTGCAAATACAAAAGTAGTTTCTAGTACGAGACCTCAAAACCCCACCATTTGTACAGGAAGATAAGTTAAAGGTGTTCTTGCAGCAAGAAGAAACTCAGATGAAAATATCCAGAGGACTCTTCAGTGCATAGTAGCTCTCCCTACAAAGGCAGACAGAACACTTACCAGTCCTGGCCAATCTGCCATAAAGAGGAGATTCTTCATCAATCCAGGTACTCAAACATTAACAAAAAGTAAATTCTCAGTACACGGCCATTTTATATTTAATAAATTTTGTGCAGTTTAACTGTTCGGTGGACATTGTTCATTGTTACCATCTCCACCACTGTTCCTTTGACTTGGTGGAGCTGTGGACTGTGGTGCACTGTTAGCAAGTTAGGGCTATGCTTCCTCTCTTCTGAAAGGCCCCCTATATTTTGTTTTTCCTACGTGAGGTTGTTCATAAGCTCCTGGACATGGAAGATGCTGGTCCAAAATTCTGCTCAAACAGGGGCAAAGTGAAGATCTGTGGAAAATGGCTTTAAACTAAAATAGGGTAGGTTTAGACTAGATATAAGGAAGAAATTCTTTACAATGAGGGTAGTGAAACACTGGAATGGGTTGCCCAGAGAGGCAGTGGAGGCCCCATCCCTGGAAACATTCATGTTGGATGGGGCTCTGAGCAACCTTATCTAGTTAAAGGTGTCCCCGCTCACTGCAGGGGGGTTGGACTTGATGACCTCTAAAGGTCCCTTCCAACCCAAAACATTCTATGATCTATGTCTCCTGTATTCCAGGTACCATGAAGACGGGAACAATTGTTCACAGGCCCATCAGGGTAAATTTAGTCAAGACATAAGAGTGTTTCTCACTCGAATAGATGTTAACTGAACAAGTGTAATGAAGGTGAGCAGTATGGCATTAGTGCAGTTAGATGCCCAAGATGGTGTCTTTTCAAGTGGTAGTCTTTAGTTTCCTTTTGTATTGGCTTTTCATGTATACGTTGCTGTTAAATATTTTTCCTCGTGTGGCTACTGTAAAGATAAAAATGGGATGGTAGGTATATGAATCCTGTAGTACTGGTGGTCATCTAATACTTAGGAGACATCTTCATTTGTGATGAGAAGTTTTTGCTTAAATTAGAGTTCCTGAATAATTGACACAATATGAGATTTCAAACATGTAATTTTAATAACCCCCATAGGGGGAAAGTATAGCTTATAAAAACCAAAATGTTTAGGAAGAACAGATAGGTTCTTGAAAGAAGAGCAAGGAGGCTGCAGTGGGTTGACCCAGCCAGCAGTTAAGCACCTACGCAGCTGCTTGCTCTCCCCCCTTCCCCAGCAGGACAGGGGACAATAGGAAGACCAATATCAAGAGAGCTTTTGGGTTGAGACAGAAGTTTAATAAGCAAATGAAAGCGGGGCGGGGGGGGGAACCAAGTGATGCAATGACAGTAATTCACCATCTCCCACAAGCTGACCAATACCCAGCCAGTCTCTGAGCAATGGCCACCTTGGTAGACAAAAACCCCCACCTTCTTCTGCCATCCCAGTTTCCTTGCCAAGCATGCTGTTATACCTCATGGTATATCCCTTCGGCCAGTTCACATCAGCTGTCCCAGCTGTGTCCTCCCCCAGTTACTCACTGAGGAGTGGGAAGTATAGTTAGATAAACCTGTGACACTGTGCAAGCACTGCTCAGTGATACCCAAAACACTGATGTATTATCAACAAATTTTAGACACAAATCCCAAACACACCGCCCCAGGGGCAGCTATCAAGCATTCTCAGTCCTAGCCAGACCCAGTACAGAAATATTAAGTTGTGTATGCATGTTCATAATACCTGTTTCTCTCAATCCCATCCAAAGCTGAAGGCAGTCCTGTCACTTGATGTTAACTTGGTCAAAGTTTTATTCCTCCTACAGTGCTGGAATCAGGTGATGACAGGACTTAACAATTAGTTGTTCAAAAAGCAAATCTTTGCATTTTTAGCTCCTGAGGTTTTTCTAGTGTAATCCATGTGCTTGTCTCTGAATTTTTGGGGGATGAAAGTCAAATATAACAATTAGTACTAAATTAACTTCAGCTAATATTTTAACTATACATGATACAACAAAACATTCTTAGCATTGAAGTGGCACTGGAAAAGCTACTTGAAGCAGCATTAAAGTAAACTGTCTTTCTAGGTAACAAGTGTATAAAGAAGCCTTGACGCTTGTGCTGAAATACAGTACTGGTAAGTGTGTGCTTTGCTAAATTTAGCTGTTGTGTATGACAGAGGTTCTCAGTGCTGGGACTCCAGCTTACAGCTGATCTGATCTAACAATACTGCTCACTCTCCTTCTCAGCACAATGCTTTTCACACAGTACTCCCACCTACAGGATATCCCTTATCCTGGCTCTAATGCTCACTGGGACCCTTCTCTGATCTGATTTGTTTTCCTGCCACTAAAATGGCAGAGTTTTGTTTTTTGTTTTTTTTTTTTTTTTTTTCTTTTTAGTGAGATGAACTGGCTTACAGAAAAGTCCAGTGAACTCCAGAGCTGGTTCAGTGTTAAGTGGCAGGAACATGGGAGCAAGCGGAATGGCAGCAGTAGCTGAATCTCCCCCTTCTGGTATCAGTGAATGGCTACAATGCTCTTGAATGTGGTAGTGGCAGCCACAAAAAATACCTGGTAATAGGCGGAGACAGGTATAGGTTATTGCCTCTATAAGATCTAAACTGATACTCCTAATGCAAAAATAAAACCAAAAGTGTTCACAGGGCTGTTGCCTTCTTTAAGCCTAAAGGAATGTTATCAAAGTTTCTAAACTTATTTTCAACTGAAAACGAGCAAGATTAGCTCAGAGCACAGCTTCATAGGAATATAATGAGATAATAGAAGTACACTCCAGTATAGCATTTGTAAAGCTATGAAGTTGGGTCTTCCAGTTTAGAAACATTTACCTGTTTCTATCATTGTACAGCATGCTCTACTTGAAGAATACTCCAGGAATAGGCCTGTAAACCACCAAAAAAAAAAAAAAAGTATGCTTAACTGAAGAAACCTGTCTGGCATTAAGTACAGCCAGAAGGAATCTGGCTAATGAATTAAATTGGATTTAAATTTAAGGAGGTTGTCAAGGCTTTAGAAAGGTGACCATTCAAGTTTCAGTGCTAGAAGTTCCAGATGAGAAGGAGCCATTAAGAATTTGCTCAACTACTTCTCCTTTTTACTGTCCAAAAGCAGTGGTGGTGGGTTTTTTTTTTTCCTTTTAAGCTGTTTTGACAAAGCTAATCATTGCCTTGAAAGCATGATCAAGGCCACAAGTGAGAGGAAAAAGCCCAGGCAGCTTACAAATAAAGAAGTATCAAGTGTGATGGCATAACATTCCTTGGTCAGTTTTGTCAATAATGACATAAGGCTCCTGGATTTCATTCACTTTTGAATTGTAGTTCCCCAGCTTTATTTCACTGGATTCGTGACAGTCACGCTCAGGCTGCAAGAGGTTCCTTCTGCCCTGTGTGTTGGTCCTTCTTATACGTGAAGAGCGAACATCAATACTTTGTGGTGGAATGTAGGTGAGATTAGGGGGCTCTCTAATGTGTCTGAAGCACTCGGAAGCTGTATGTGCATTAGGAGTGTCCATTAATAGTCTCTTGCTATCAGAACCAGTAGTAGAATCCTCCAGGTTCCCAGTAGTACAGCATAGATCTGAAGATGGCTCAATATGTGCAGCTGCTCTGTTCTGCATCTGAGCATTAGTCAGATATGTATGTTTTATTTTGGAGTGATTAAATTCTCTTACATGCCTGTCACTTGTACTTGCATATGATACTGACTCAGATTGGCCTGTTTCCTCTACTGGATACATAAGGTCTTCCTGAGCGTCCTTGCTTTGTAGTTTTGTGAAGGTTAAAGACAGCTCACAAACTTCCTCTTCTCTAGGGACACTGCAGTTTTGGACAGAGGCAATGTCCTTGTATGGCAGAGACTTCAGCTCATTGGGTTCATCTGCAGGGTCCGGGTCTATGCAATTTATGGCCTCGTTAATTTCTGCTTCAATTGATTCTTCGGGGAGTTCTTGAGCTTTGTACTCCAAAGTGGTTTTGCTGTCACAAGAGCTGTCAGCAAATATTGCAAAGGCTGGCGGACCGCTTGCTCCTGGTGAGAGTGGCACAGGCCTGATCTCATTTGCAGTTGACTCTGCAGTGACTGCCAAAACACATTCTTCACTTAGACTGGCTCTTGGCTTTTTTTCAAAAGCTTTTGGAGAAAGATTCTCACTGAAAATAGGTGTTTGTCTTATGACAATGTCACTATATTTGATCAAGAAGTCCTCGCTGTCTGAGCATTTGCCCGGAAAATGTACGGTATTAATGACTTGCCTTTGGTGTTCCTGAAGCCTGTTAGTGGACTGAGTAACTGCTAACTGAGGCATGTCATCTTTGATCTTCAGATTCCCAGCAGCTTCAAAGGATATACTGCTATTCATTGAAGACTTCTGTTGAGTAGCAAGGCACAGAGATGTCTCACTGTTTTCTTTATTTTCTAGATTTTCAGCATCTTCTCTCTGGGGTGTCTGATCTTCTTTGTCCTTATCTCCATGATGCCGGTGCATTTGTGTTCTCTTCTGTAGGGTCTTCTCCAAATTGCCATGTTTTTCTTCATTTGTCATTTCGAGGATGGTTTCACACTCAATTCTTGCCAGGAATATTTCAAATGCAGTCTGCTTTGTTTCCTCATTGTTTCTCTTTTTGACAAGTGAAAACTCTGTTGCTGTTGTTGCAATGTAACCTATTTTCTCCAGTACTGTTTTTACAATGTCATCTGGGAGCACAGATTGAATATAGTAGACAAAATTACCGGTGAATGTCTGAAACAGAATGCAACATTGAAAAACAGATGAAGACTGTGGGAGGTGGGGTGGAGGGAAGTGTGAAAGACTTCCCAAAAATCAAAACTACTTCAAAAATGACTTAAATCTTTAAAAAAGCTATGTTCCTAAAAGTCTGAATTTTGAATCAAGAGTGAGTGAGGCTTTTCTATCAGCATTATTCTGTCAGCCTCTCAAGCATTATAGGTTTGCTATAGCACATTAATTTCAGTGAAGTTACGCCAGTTTAAACCTGCTGATATACTGGCTAAGAGCATCAATATTGAAAAAGGAAGACAGTAAGAAAATCATTTTAGTCAAACTAGAGAAACTCAGAAATAAGTCTTTTGCACTCTACTGAAGAACAGAAGATTTTTAAACAAATGAAGATTCATAGAATAAATCACAGAGGTCTCATCTTTTCCTAAAGAAACAGACACAATGCACTCACTGTTAATCATATTTCTTAACTGGTGACGAGACTG